ATCTGCTCTAACTCCTATTTGTGTGATAGGAAGAGATGTTGAATAAAAGAGCATGTGTGTGACAGAAACATACCTTTTTATATTCTCGTAATTCATGCCTTACATAACTAAATGAATGTTAGTGAGTTTGTTGGAGAGGGTGGAGGTGACAGTCTGTGCTCATCACAGAGAGAGAAAGAAAATTTGCTGGATCCACCCATAAAATGAGAATCTTCCTGATGCTTTTTCCCTTGGTATTTACAGAAGGTTTATTCTCACTAGAAAACTCCAGAACTATCTGGCAGGTGTGTCTTAAAATGTTTATGACTGTACTCACAACTTCACATCTGTGAAACATCATCTGTGCTGGAGCCTGAGGGATGGCTGCAAGCATCTTTCCTGGCTCTTCCTCTACAGTCCTCTCAGCAGATTTTGGCACCTCTAGTTTTTATGTGGAAAAGCAGATGGGAGAGAAAGCACTTCTGAGAGGGCCTAACACCTTCTTAGCCCAGAGATATTTTAAGCATAAATCTGCTAGGAGACCTCAAGAGGTTTTGGGCTCCAAGTTCTCCCAAGCAACTGACTCAGCTCTGGTGTCCCAGGCTGTGCAAATGCAGAAATGATCATGAAGGAGGTCCAGAGGCAGTGGAACTACTCCAGCCATAGCAGAGTCACACCAAATGGTGCCAGTGTGAAAATTTAGTGAGCAGAGAAGGAGAGTCAAATCCTCCATGCCAGAAAAAGTACCAAGTTGTCTTGAATTGATAACAAATTTTTCAGTACAAAAGTGGCCAGATGAGCCTGTGAGGCTAGCCTGAATGGATGTCAGGAAAAGTAATCACAGGATAACACCAGGGTTTTGGAGCTGGATGTCTGCCTCTGCCACTGCAGAGCTTTGTTTCAGTGCTGGCAGGAGCACAGTGACCCCGGTGGAGGAAGGCAGTGTGCCAAGAAGGCATCATGGCATAGCAAGGAGCTGCCACACAGACCTCAGGACAAGCTCTACCTGTGCTCCTGATTTTTTCTCACTGGGCAGTGAAGGTTCCTCTGCTTAGACCACGTTGAGAACAAAATTATTGGCTGAGGAAGGAAATATACCAGCAGCTGTTGCTTAAATGATGCAGGGGCTGTGGTTTGACCACTGATTGGAAAGCAGTTTTGTACAAGGCCTTTTCAAACCCACCACACTGCTCACCTCTCCTTCCCTATTAATAATTACAGTCACAGTGCTGCTGGTGTCAAGTTGCTATAGAAGCACCGACTAAGCTTCTTTGCAAGCTGTTTAATAAATAGAAAAAGATCTTTCCTGAGATTTCCCAAGCGCTTTTTTTGAGCAATCAGCTGCAAAGCAGCCCGAGTCCTTGCTGGCTCCCTGCTGCCTGACCCAACAGCCCCTCAGCTCAGCACCCTGGTCCACTCCAAATAACTTGCCTCAACAGCAGTGCCAGGAACTTTGCTTTCCATAACAAAGTCCCTGAGACGGCTGTTTAGCACAAGTGCCTCTTCAAGTGGAGGTGGTGAAGTGCTCCTCTGCTGGTGCCAATCTGTTGCCCCTCAGAGCTGGCACCCTTTACTGATGTGCCCCTGTGTTTTCTCCCCCTGTGAATCTCCTGTACAACGATGGGGCTTGTGCCTCACCATACTGATGTCACTTCATAGACCAAATGCTTGAACTGGCAAAGCATTAACCCTTAATTTCAAGGAGAGGTTGTTTTTAAGCTTCATGTATCTCTCCAGTCCACTACATAGCCTATCCTCTCTGTCTTCACGTTTCAGCCTGCCCCTGACTGAGTTGCAAAGAGCAGTGTCCCAGAATATATACAGTTACCCACCCAGCACTCCCTCAAGCTTTGTGTTACACCACCGGAGCCTCGCTGATTTATTAGAGCTCAGGCAGACCTGTAGTCATAACAGGCTGGGGAATATTTTCTCTCTAGGCTCAGGATTAACACAGGGGCTCAGACTTTACTCAGATGAGGGATTACGGTGTGGGTAAGTGGACCCGTGGTATATGTATCTAATGAGCCCAAAAAACAGTGGCTGGGGAGATGACAGAAGACACTGCACAGAGCCCATGCCATGAGGTCACTGATGCCTGAGCTCCAAGCAGCTCTCTGGGCATGCAGCATTCCATGTCATGGCACAGGTATGGGCACTGCTACCACCCTCACAGGCTCACCTCTCTTTTGCTTGACTTGTTTATCATCCACCAAAGACGAAAACCATTTTTCTGCCCATCCAGGAGGCAGAAGATGATGTGTAACATTTCACGCAGGCGTGTTCTGCCCTACAGAAGGGCACATTCCTTTGCCCTTGTAGCCACTGGACACATTAATGAATTATTCCAAGCCTGTAACACCCTCCAAGGAGCAAGATGCCACCCAGAAGGGGCAGCCCATGGTTTGCTGCCTTGGGTACTTACTGCAAACTCTCTTCCCAAAGCCACCACTCTGTGCTGAGTTACATCATATCATAGTGTAATGCCTTTAAATCATTAATCTGTCTTACTTCTGGACTAGCGCCAGGAAAACCGATGAAGGCCAGACTGAGTTCAGATCAAACCAGAGGACATTGTGGTTACATTTATGGTTTTTCAGAGGATCTCTCACCTGCAACCACAAATCTGCCTTTATTTGGCTTGAGCATGATCCAAAATTACCTCAGAGGTCAGCAGTGCATGTCTTGCGGATTAGCAAAAACTACTGACTAACTTAACGTAATGCATTATGACTATTATTATTCCGGGAAATAAGGGTGGCTGTAGTCTGTTGTGTTGTAATAAAATCTAACATTAATTTTCCCCATTTGCAAAAACAGCCAGAAAAAAGGCCAGAAAAAAATAAGGCATGGGAGTGTTCTTCATCTTGCTGAATGCCACAGCTCTTGCTACAAAGAATTCATTGTAGGCAGCACTCTAAATCCGCTTACAAACAGGAATTAATGAAACTTCCCAGCACCTCCACAAGGTAAGTCAGAGGGCTGAAGTCAGTCTCCAGAGAGGAAGCACAGCTCAGGTCAGTGGTGCTCGAGCCCTCTGAGGGAGGACAGTGGCACTCCCTGGGATGCCTGGAGCCCCAGAGCTCGGCTCCTGCCCACCACCAGGCTGGCGCTGGCTGTTTACTCCAGCTGCTCCTGTTCAAAGTCCCCCAGAACCAGTGGTAAAAGCACCACTGGCTTTCCCGAGATTAAGTCACCTTTGCCCTACTTCTGGACTTGTAAAATGGGAGCAATAATATTTCCCTGCTGCCCTGTGGCTGGCAAGAATCTGTCATTGTTCCTGTGGCTGAGAAGGGTGCACAAAAGGGAAAGGAGAATAAATATTTACCCAGAATCTGATACAGGTAAGTCCATCTGTGGATTGTCCCCTCCTCCAACGAACTTCCCTTCCTACGGGAAACTCTAGCCTCTATTTGGTTAAATCATTTACGTACATTAATGAACAATTAGGGAGGGAAGAGAGGAAAACAGCCAAGAAAGGAGCTTCCCTCGGTTTGGCTTGTTTGATTTAGGATAGGAGGGAAGTAACCTGACTGTGATAGATGAGGACTCTGTCACTACCCGGACAGTCTGTAAAATCAAGTCTGGTTGGGAGATTTAAGACAAAGGGCCAGACACAGTGTTGTTTTAAACTATTGTAGTTTCTCTGGAGTTGCTGGACCATTGAGAGTTATATTGGGAAGGTCTGGTCCTGTGGGTGCTGGAAGAGGAGGGCAGGGTTGTGGCAGCCCCACACTCTTGGCAGAGTTCTGGCTCTGTCAGAGGAGTTGTGAGCTTTGCTCTTGGTCATTTAACTCACACAGCTCAGCCTTGTGATGGTCCCTGGGGCCCAGCTGCTGTTGAGAGCTTTCAGCTTTTCACACGAGATCTATTGGATGTGACAAGGTACACATGGGTCATATGGTGCTCTCTAAATAAGCCACATTAAAGTGCAGCACCACCGTAAAAACAGAAAAAAACCCAACCCCATCCTTTCCACCCCAGTGCAAACTGCCCCCCATTACAGTTTTTTTTTTTTAATGGACTCTTTTCCATCAGTGTTCCCTGCTGCAAGCTGCACTAGAGATCCCTCCAGTAAACCTCTGCACATCCTGGGGCTCTATCCATACAAGGAGTAAGGAGCTGGTGAGCTGTCATGCTCTCCTAGTACAGATTGGCCAGAAGAGGCTAAAGCCCAGAAGGCTGTTTTTATGATCATTTGGGCTGAGAAAGCAGATATCTATGAGCTGGAGCTTTGGTTGCTAATTCGGACTGAAGCTCATCAAAGCTAGAGAGATGGAGTGCAGAAAGTGGAATAAACTAGATTGGCTTTGTGCTGGAGCCAAGAAATATAGATCAAACAAATGCAAATTCAGGGAGAAACGTTGTGCACCTATAAATCTTTGTGTAAAAATATCTTTTTTTTTCCCTTAAAAAACAGTGAAAAAAACAGAGTACTGCCATCCCAAAGTCCTTTCTGCTCTGAGCAACACTGCCTAGTACTTTGCAGGTTTCCCTGTTCAGCTCTACTGATTCCTTCCTTGGAGAATGCATCTGAACTGTTATTTCAAACCATCTTCTCCAACCAGAGAAACCCAATACTTTAGAAGTAGGGCACTGAAGCAGAACCTCAAGGCCTCCCCAACTCATTCCCAGCATTGCTGGATCTGCCTCTTTCTCACGTGTTGGAGGGAATTCATTTGCACATTTTCTGTCACAGCAGCCCTGGGACAATCTCCTGGGGTTTGGGACAGGGCTGTGAGGTCACCAGGTACATGCTGCCCTCTACAAGCCAGGTGGGGATGGCTAGAGAGACTGGCAGCCTGGCTGGAGTCTGCTTAGCTGTGTAGAAATCCTTTGACGTGGCAAACAGCCATAACAGATCAGAGTCAGCTCAAATCCCAGCGGGTGTTTGAAGTCAAATCTCCAGATGTTCAAATATTAGCCTACTCCATCACCTGTCCATCAAACATTAACTCACTCCACCAAGAGTACACTTACCCAGTCCCTCAGCTCATTGCTTCCTATACTGGAGATTTTTCTTGAGACAAATGCAAAACACTGCATCCTGGATGCTGCTGCCCTTGCAGAAGAAGATAAGCTCCAGCCCAATTAAGGAAGAACATTAAGTACCATAGATTCACAGCTGGGAATTTATATCTGAATAGGGACTGAGGTCAGGATAAAGAAAAATAGTTTCAGTGCATCTGTGAATCAATTTGTACATTAAATCTGTCTTCATCTTGGTAATGCAAGCTGGACTGCCAATGCCATGTAGTTAAAACGTCACACTCCTAAACCATCACAATACCAGCTTGAGAATCACACAGCAAGCTGTGCTTTCAATTGCCTTTCTGGTGCTAGAGGTATCAGGAATGTGGTATTTCCATGCTTCTTATTTTTCAGGGTGAGTTAGATCTGTGCTGCTGTTTCTACAGGTGAGGAGAGATTTGGATAACCCATGCCCTGGGGAAAACAGAGCTTGGAGGAAAATGGGCTACAACTCATGAGAGCTGGCAGTGCTGCACTGGCAATACAATCTGTCCTGCTTTCTTTGCCTTCACACATTAGCTGGAATCTTCTGAGAGTCAGAAAATCTCAATGGAGCTTGGGCCATCCAGCTTTCTAGGGCTGCTCTCTCTTGCCCCAGCATTGCCCACCCCTGCTGGGCCAAGCAGGCATGGAAGAACAAGGGAGCAACAGCCAATGGGACTCACCAGAGGTGGCTTGCAGGTAAAAAGAAGATTAAAAAAAAAAAAACAGGTAAAAAGCACTCTCTCTCTCTCTCTCTCTGTGCCTGAAAGGTGATATAAGTAGCAAGTTTTCCCTAATTATTCTTAGGTGGTTATGCAGCTACGGTTACATTGCTTTGGAGAGGTGGGAAGCAGTGGGGTTGTAGGAGGCAGCCTCACACTTGTTCTAATGTTGGGTCTTTGCTCAGCAGTGAATAAGATTGTTTCTACCTGTATTATCAAGATCCTGTATTATATTCATGAGATGTTATTTTTAACCTCTCTATATGGTGTGGTCCAAACTCATTAATGATTAACTGAGAGAGTGTATTCCTGGTCCTGCTTCTCAGCTGTGCTGGGAAACTTAATTGAGGTGCTTTGAAATTCCAGGATAGAAAGTTCTTCTAAAGTGCCATGTATTGCAATTATTACCTATATAGGAGGCAAGTGATGACCATATCTGATCACAGACACTCTCAAAGAACAGAGATTGCAGTATGAGAGTGCATCATAAATGTGTAAAGCTGGGTTAGTGGTCACACTTTCATCATTTCAATGAAGGAATGTGTTTTGGCCTTTTTTCACTGTGCCAGGATTTAGCATCCAGAGCTTCCGTTTTTCCGGAGTGTTTTTAATCTCTGCTGGCAATGTTATCGTGCTATGATATTTTAAATGGTTTTACATAAGGACTGCACACGACAGCTTGAGCTGTAGTGATGGAGGCAAAGCCACCTGGCTGCCAGCCAGGGAGAACAGGCTCCTTTCTCAGGCAAATTGCTCAGTGGTATTTTTAGCTACAAATGCACTGTCTGATGCAGTTAGTATTCAACTTGCAGGGCTGCAGGACACATCCCTGCAGCTCCTGCTAGGAAATGTGACAGACGTGTAGAGCGCTTGCCAAGAGTGAGCGCCCTGCTCGGGTGGCTGGCTGGGAGCCGAAGAGGAGCCCAGCATTGCTGGGAATGCTGGTTTCGGTTCTGGGAGCAGAGAGCCAAGCCAGGCGAACTGGCAGCACTTCTCCCCAAGCTGGAGATGCTTATGTGCATTACAGGACAAGTCATTAGTTCCTTTGCTAGTAATAACATAATCATGACAATTACGTCAGCTGCTGTTAATTGCAGAATCAACTTTTCCAACCCCAAACCAAACACTGAAGGGGGTTGGACTCCTGACAGAGCTGAGCTGCTCCAGCCTTTCCTTGCAGGCAAAGGTGGCTGTGATGCACAGTTCATATCCTTCCCAAAGGGTGCCTAGGCTAACATTCTGACCTCAGCCTGAGTGAGGGCACTATGGACTATGCACCCAGCAATGTGGAAGCATACTCTGATCTCAGTGAGTCAAAATCAATGACAGTGACGTTCCCTGAAACAGGCTTTCCAGAGGAGTGTCTCCAAACTGATAATCACCCCTCCTCATGCTCATGGCAATGGGATGGAGCTGCAGTCAGGTGAGAGTTTAGAGAACCTCAGGCCCTCCTCCTATGGGACTCTGGTGAGAAGGGGACATCTTTCTAACAAGGAATTTATGGGTAATAGTTATTTCTCACAGTCAGCATTAGGGCAGAATGCAGCTTCCCTACGAGCAGGAATGAAGTCATTGCAGGAGGTGACAAAATGCGTGAACACGACTTTAAATACATTTGAAGTAGATCAAGTAGTGTTTCTTGCACCTTTCACACAGCAGACAGTCAGAAAGCAGATGCTGATACACCAGGTGATAAGAGGCCAACACCTGAATTACTCCTCATGGTGCTTCTGGTACATTATAGCATTAGACTTAAGATCTGACAGCCCAGGAGAGACTACCACAATTATGTAGCCAGTCCATTTCTGTAAAACAGGATTTTCACTTCAGTTTTTATTCCACGTGTGGCTGAATTTTAGGGATGATTTAGGAGATTTACTGATTTGAATTTTACAGGTGGCAGCTTTATGGCATCCTTCAGTGAATGCTTTCAGCAATCATTTATCCTGGCTGATAAAAACTTGCACCTCACTTCTTATTCATACTTTGCTATTTCATCCTATAACTTCTGGCTTGCCAAGTGCTCCATAATATTCTCAGGAAGTAAAAGTGACAGGCAAGACCCTGTTGCTCTTCTCTGGCTGATCCAACAGCCCCTGGGAGCCTCAGCAGCTGCAGCTGGCTCAGGGATCGAGCTGGGATGCAGCCCTGCAGAGAGCTGCCATGCTGGCTGTGGTGGGTTCTGCAGCAGAGCTCTGCTGTGAACTGTTTCCCACTCCTTATCATGGCTTCTTTTGGGGTTGGTCAGTACCAGCAAGTCTTCTGCAGTTAAACAGAGTTGATTTAGTTGTATCAACGCAGTAAAGATTTCCACAATCCACAGCAAATATTTTAGAGGTGAGATGGCAGATTTCTTCTTACTCCTGTGCACATACCTACCTGCATATATGAATATATATATTTATATGAGATGTAGTGTTTCTGCCACTCCTTAAAAGATTTAAAAATCTTTTCCCCAGGGTGTGTGTATAATCTGTCATATTTCCAACATGTTGCAAATCTGCATTTCCTATTGATCTTATCTGCTCTGCTGTGCTACAGCAGTCTCTGTTTCACATCGTAGCCCCAAGGCTTCCATCCTCATTAGAAATCCTTTCCCAGGAGACTGGAGATGCACCAGCTGATCACAGATCACAGCAGTAACAGCCAGTGACTAAACTCTCTGAATCCCCAAAATAAAAGCAAGAAACAGTACGTGAGAAAAAAAAGGTGCCTTCCAAGCAGGTTCCCTAAACCCCTGGTCCTTCCTGGCAGCCACGACAGTCACCTGCACTCTCAAGCACCTTGTAGGTATTTCCTGCTGAAGGAAACAGCATGTGCTTGCTTATCACTGAAAAGAGCAGCTGAAACTTTTATCTTTTTTTTTGTGAGCACTAGGGAGTGTTCCCTCCTCTCTTAGCTCAAACAACGGAGTTATCCCACTTCTTTAGTTCTCACAGTCCCTGTGGGCAAACCCCACTGTCCCAGCAGCACAGGTCTCACAGCCCCCTAAATCCCAAAGCCCATGGGGCAATGAGCATGCAAAGGTCCCAAGCTCGTGGGAGCAGGATGGTTTCTGAAGTTACAGCAGCAAAAGATGATTTTAATAATTTAAGAGCTCTGACCTGGCTCTTTTAGCCCATCTTTACCCCAGAGCTGTCTGGGGTACTGCCTGAAGTTGCTGCTTTTCTTTGACATGGCACCTTCTGAAAATGTCACAGAAAACAGTTCCTGGACTGCATCAGACTACCTCTCCTTTTAGTTGGGCTAAGCCTCACGTGTAAGGTTTTCCCAGCTACAAATCTTAACTGAGCTCCTTAGCAGGGCATTATAACCCATGCTGAAAGCAAAGTGGTATCTTTCATTCATTCCTCTTGTGGTCACAATAAGCTCTTGAGCCCTGTCTTGTACTGTGACTAACACAACAGGACCCTGGCTGTAAACTGGGGATCCACTGAGTCCAATAAAAATAATACATAAAAATTTCTCTTTGTATCAGGAACGAGAAAACACTAAACTCATATCCTTTGTAATATACAACACATGTGAAAATCAGCCACAAGAGCAGAAAAAAGCTTTCCTGAATTGTGGTTTTCAAGTTGGAGTTGTTGCCTACCCCTCTTCTCACAGCAGGCAGGGGAACCTCAAAGGAGCAGGTGTTTTTCAGGGATGAGACAAGCCTCTGGTCAGTGCTTGTCATCCGCCTGAAACACGTCACTAATCTTCACTGGGGTCTCTACTCAGCTGTGCAAACATGGGGGCTTTGAGGATTAGGTTCAAATTCACATGAAGTTTTGTGGTTGTGTTTTGAAAAGAAAGATGAATCCAAAAAAACAATAGCATGGATTACTTTCCGTTTGGAGAAACAGATTGCAAGCTTTCCCCCGATCTAGGGCTGGACTGACCTCAAAGTTATTCATCCCCAGCAGCTTCCATTTGTAAATTTCATGATTCTTTATTGGAAGGAACATGGCAAAACATTGCAGCTTCTGCGGGTTAGAGATGGACTTAAAGGATTTCTTAAGGTTGTAGAGAAAGTACTGGGCACAACCAGGATCTGAACTGACTCCTAGCTTTAGGAGGTCTGCTTGTGAGGAAAGCTGTGTCTCCCTGTACTCACGAAAAGACAGTGGGAAGAGCTGGCAAGAAGCTTGTTAGAGAAACTATTTTATATTTTCTAGTGACCATGTAATTAGCCCCACGAGGAGTGTCGAAGAAGCAAAGTGCAAGCACAAGCTATATAAAAAGGAGAGGAGGAATCAAACCTGATACCAGAGATGAGTTTTGAGCAAAGATTCAGGCTGCTCTCTTGTTTATCCCCTTGCACTGAACCCCAGTCACACTGAATTGGCTTGAATCCCCTCCATGGAACGTTTTTACACGGTATTTTCTCCTTGCAGGGCACTGGGGGCTGTGACTGGCACCACAGGGAGTAAGTGGCTGGAAGACTAACGATGTGCCATGCTGATACCTCCATTTTTACTACATCCAATTAAGCAATAAATGATTCTGGTGGAAGTGTGGAGCACACAGATTATTATGCAAATCAGCTCGCAGTGCTACCAGCGGGCTCCAGCTTTGCCCTAAATAGGACCGGTAGGATATTAGTGCAAATGTCACCTTTCTCCTTTGTTAGTTATTGCCTCCCATCTCACCCATCATGCAGCTTCCCCGAGGTCAGAGCCATGATTTCTCATAGACTTGGGAGCGCAAATGGATTTTAAAGAGAATTTTTAACAAAGCTTCTATCACCTTCCACAAACATTCTAACACATCCAGAGCTGGTGGCCTGAGAGCCTGCTACACTGGCAAAGCTACCTGAAGACTTCACCTTGAGCCAAGCTACAGACTGGTCCATGGGCATGCCCCAGGCTAGAAGAGGCACATCTTTTTGGGAGGTGGAGGACAGAGCTGCCTGAAAGCAATGAGCTGAGAGCTCTAGTGGGAATCAGGTTTTCCCACCAGTTAACTTACACCATTAAAAAGTACAATGAGGGAGCAACACTGAGGGTTTTGAATCACCTTATTTCCCAAGTTATTTTGTCCTCCCCACTCCCCTTAAAAGGGTTTCTTTTGCTCTGCATTCCTAAAACGAAAATGAGACAAGAAGCCGAGCTGCTTGCCCCCATCACGAGCTGTTGTTAGCAGACAAAGGCCATTGTTTGCTGCCACCGGGTTGTTGTTCCCGTGGTGGCAGCAGCCCCCAGCACCAGCCCTCAGCTCTGGGCCCTTTTTGTACTCAGCATGGCACAAACAATTGCACAGTAGATGGTTGCAATTTGAAGAGAGGAATACATTTCTCAGCATGTTCCCACAGGCCCGTGGGACACAGAAATTCACAGGCTGGCTGGAGACACCTTAACGCTGGGGGGCAAGAAGGAAGAATCATCACCCATCATTATAGCATGTGGTCCAGACCAAGCACACTGTGATCCCTCAGGTGGAAAATGTTTCACTCCATGGAATGCACTTGGATAGATCTGTGCCTCAATTGCCAGACCTTAAAACTCAGTTCAGCGAGGTTTTCCCCATCCCTTTCCCTGGTGCAAAACTAAACTGAACTGAATCCATCCAGGTTCTGCAAAAGGAATGTGGCTGTCCATGGCCAGTGATGCTAAGACCTGACCTCTGTACATAAGGCTGATAGAAAAGAGGAATGAAAGCAAACCTGGCCATATAAAATGTGCAAATTCCTGCTAACAAGGAGATCTGGTCTTTCAGTGTATTCTTTGAACATCCACAGAACAAGTCCAAGATGCCTGATGAAACCTGATCAAATTGTGTGGATTTCTTTAAATTTTTCTTTAAAGTTTTTTTTTAAGTTTTTGGGAGTTTACTCAAACATGCAACTTGGGAGACAGTGAGGCATGTGGTCTGGAACATTTGGGAGGGCCACAGGTCTCAGCCAACCAAAGGTCCTGTTGCTTGATGTCTCTGGGGATAAATAGTCTTCACCACCATCAAAAAATCTTGCTGGTTTAGCCTCTGATCCTACTTTGCCTTGCAGCAGGGTAAATGCAAAACTGCCTAACCCACCTCAGAATAAAATAACAAAGGGGAGAGAGAGATTGAGATAGTTATTTTCCTTCTAAGTTAGCAAGGCAGAATTCAATATTTTCTTCCTATGCCTAAATTGGAGAGAAAGGGATATTTTCATTTTCAGATTGCAAATAGAATTGATTCTTGCTTGCTCCTTTGGGAGGAGTGACTTTTTAAAATGCCACAAGACTGGTACAGATGGGCAAATCCTCTTGTCATTAGGCCATGATGCAGAGCTAAGGAGTGTCCTGCAATCTCCAATTCACTGTGAGTGCACCGGGGTTTTGAGATAGGAAAAAAAAGCAGGAGAGAAATACCTGGTTTTAGAGGTCCCTTGCTGCTCTGACAAATTGTTTATCAAAGAGCAGCAAAGCAGTTTTGAGGCTACCTTGCCCAGCAGGCAGGAGTGCATTGTCAGGCCTCATGCACTCTGTGGCATAAAACAACAAGGGGTTTGTTTTGAGGGCTGTGTTTAAACAGAACTTATGCTGGGAAGGTTCTATCCAGGAGAGTCCTGTCTATGTCCCACTGTCTCTTCTGTTCCAGGTGTCCATGGGGAGAACACAGCAGGCAGAGCCTGGCTGTGCAGCACCCACTGGGGACACATCCCTGTGGTGGCTGGGGGCTCAGGACGGGCACTGCTCCCTCCCACACCTCCTGGCTCTGTCCTGCTCTGCATCCTCCCAGGCTGTGGCTGATCGCTGCTATCACAGCACTGCCAGCAGCTGGGGCTTTGCCCTGTAAGGGGCTGAGAGATACACAGCCTTTGCAAATAAAGCTTTGTGCTTCTGTGTGCCTCTTGTCTCTGGCCAGCTACAGCAAAAACAGGGGGCTGGAAGTTGCATCCTGCAGTACTAGGAGTCATTTGCTGAAATGCAAATTCATCCCCAGCAAAGGCTGGGGATGCAGCACTTCTGCACAGCAAGAGTTTCCTCATGGCACTGGTCACCCAGAGAAGCAGGGAAATCAAGATCCATTTTATAACAGAGCACATGTCAATGGCTGTTGCTACTTCATTCAGACTGTAACAGAGCCCAAGCTGTAAAGGGTACCTTCTGGTCACATGTAAAGGCAGGCTGGGGCTGTAAAAATATTATTTTTACACAGTGTATATAAAATATTATTGTGTATTTATTAATATGCTTATTTTAATACCTTGCTTCTCCAGAGGTACCATTTTACATCCCAAATAAGTCAGTGTCCAGCACAGGCACAAAATCAGATTTATTTAAGTTGGCCACACAGCAGAGTCTTCGCCCTTCTCCGGGGACAGGTAAAGATCCTCACCAAGCTGATATCCTAGAAAGCTCTCAACCAAGGAGGAGCAGAGAGATAATGTAGTGAACAGCTAGCTGCTTCTTGCTTATTGCAAGCTTACTTGTTGAATTTTTCCAAGTTACACTATTCATAACCCTGCACCCCTTTCCTTCTTCCTCCACACTACCTCCAGGTTACACCAGACAGGCACAACAGTGATGTTGATCACTCTTTGTTTCTTGAAACAGTACTATAAAGGGAAAAAAACAGAAAATTCTGAGGACCAGGGGGAGGACCTTAGAGAACGGCATGATGGTGTATTAGGGGAGGTTTAGGTTGGGTATCAGGGAAGGGTTCTTCTCTCAGAGGGTAGTTGGGCACTAGAAAAGGCTCCCCAGGGAAGTAGTCACAGCATCAGCCTGACAGTTCAAAAAGCATTTGGGCAATACTCTCAGGCACTTGGTATGATTCTTAGGGAAGAAGCTGTGCAGAGCCAGGGGTTGAATTCAGTGATCCTTATGCATCCCTTCCAACTCAGGACATTCTATGATTCTATAATATAAATTCCCATTAAACAAAACAGAAGAACCTCTTCATAATGCTTCTAGTAGCACTTTTGCATCACCAGTAGTGAAATACCGTAAAGCATCTCAAATGCTTTTCACATTTGTGTTTTTTTAATCTTATTTTGCTTTTCCCATTTCTCAGTCTGGCCAGTGTCACTGCCAGGCATTTTCACATTTGTTTGGGGTCCCATTATCCCATGGATGTGACCATGTCTCTGGTGGTATCAACCTGTGCCCAATACAGCCACCAACCCTGAGATCCTGACGGCACCTCTGGCTTGGCAAGAGTAATTCCCTGTTTTCCCTTACGCTGCTGGTGGGGGGGGGGGGGGTAATGAGACCCTGGCTCTGAGACCCTACACTGTCTGTGAGCTGCTTTTCCACCATCCCTGGCTGCCAAGCTGCTGGCTGGCTCGGTGACCAGAGTGGAAAATCTTGGTCTTCCAGACCCAACTGCACCCAACCAGATAAGCAGGTCTGAGGCAGAGCCTGCTGGGCCAGACTTTCCACAATTGGAGACATGGGCTGGCTTGAAGACATGGGCACAGCCTCCACTGCTTGCCAGTCCTCCAAGACACAAACTGGGTTTAGTGAAGGGCAGGGCTTTCTGAGGTTTCCAACTCTTCACTCAGGTCTTGTTGGTATTTACCATGTGGGCCTGGTGACACACAGTACTGAGTTTGTTAATTTGCTTCAGCATCTCCTCTTTCGACACCTCAGGTTCTTCTGGTGCATTACTTTTATTAGCTGAGTGCAGTAAGAATCTCCAGCCTCCTCCCTGGAAAAGGCCAGCATTTAAAGGGAGCAAATACCTATTCTGCTGCAAGATTACTGCTTTGTTGAATTGTTCTGCTTCCTAATGACCCAGTGGGAAAATTTATTTTCTCATGTATTTCAAGGATTAAGTACATTTGCTCCTCCAATTAGCCTTTCTAATTTATTTTTTAATATTTCAATCACAGTTGATTTTTTGAGGTTTTTTACAGAATTAAGAAAAAACAAATTATTTTCTAAAAATTCAAATTGTATTTTTTTTAATCTAAGAAACCGAATGTCTTTCCATTCTGAAGGAGCTTGATGCTAAAATAAAAACTGCCTTAAGCAGTATACCTCTTGTACTTCCCAAGGCAACAAACCTTCCTCACCCAGAGATTCTTCTATCTGGCACCTGCCTTACTCAAGGACTCTCAAAACTGTGACCACTCTCCTGGCTGCCCAGGCAGGGCCCCAGGCCAGCCTGTGTGATCCTGATGCTAAGTTTGATGGTCATGTCTAGCAAACTGCTTCATACATGTGTGTGTGTGTGTGTGTGTGTGTGTGTGTGTGTGTGTGTATCTATACACGTGTGTCTGCATGTGTGTATATATTTATGCATGTAAAATCTAACCAACATACAAACTGGTTAATTATTTGTGTGGAGTGACTTTAAAAGAACCAGGGGTCAAACCGAAGCCAGCTGTCAACCCTCAGTCAATCCCAAATTAATAATACAGCATGAGATGGCCCTCTAAAGGTTTTTTAATGTGTTTATATCTTGGTTTGATAAACACAGTCAAGAGAGACAAGATGGAAGAGGCAGAAAACTTAGTAGGGTTACTTTTCCTTAAAAAACAACTTGTGAAAACATCTGTGCAGCTCGCAACTCCCCAGATGTTC